AATAATATAAAAAAATTACATGTATAACTAATTATAAACTCTTTTTGTAATGATTCTATATAGAACTATATTATTATAAAAATATTAATAAAAGTCAAAAAATTAAAAAGATTATTTTAATATTAAAACAAAACTTTTATTAAACAAAAATCTCTTCTTTTTTTAAGTAAAATTGTAAAAAGAAAATATAGTAACTTAGTGAAGTAGACAAGTTGTCAACCTTCTAACTAATAGGTTAAATATTCAAATCTTATTGATAATAAAAATTTAGATAATCATCTATATAATACTCATATTATGACAACTGTTTCTAATAATTAGATTAAGATACCTATAAGGATGATCATACTAGTATGACTAGTAGATTATAAAACATCAATAAAAACATAATATTACATAAAGAAATACAAACTAATATTAAATAATACAAATACTAAATAAGTTCTTGTAACTATATAAATTTATTAAAATTATAAAATAAAAAGTCTATTTAAAAAAATCCAAATAAAAAAATAACACATTGATCTTTAATAATGTTACTGTAAAAACTAATTTTAAAAAACAAATACTAATATTAAAATATTTAAACAAATAAAAATCTTTGAATTAAAAATCTTAAAAATATTACCAACCAGGTTACCAAAACAGATTAGAAAAAAAAGATATCAAGTCAACCTAATATAACAATAAACTGATTATAATCCTATCTGATCATTTAAATTGAAAATTTAGAAAATAAATAAAAATATACTAAAGTAATTCAAATATATTTTGAAATAAATATTTGAATCTAAATAAATCAAATCAACTGTAAAAATAGATATAAAAGACTCTAAGAAATTTACTTTGAAGATAAAATAATCCTAAGGTTGAGACAATAACTTGAACATAATCCAGTAATGTTAACACAGATGCAGGTATGACAATTGGTAGGGAACCTTCAGACGGACTCCTTAAATAAGTAATATAGAAAAGTTACACGTATAACCAATTGTACACTTTTACTGTAGTGGTTTATAGAATCACATTACCAAAAAAGTTGTTAATAAAAGTCAAAGACCAAAGAGGTCACCTTAACATTAAAAAAAAAAAAAGATTGTTCTGGTTCTAATAATGGTTAGATCATCAAAATTGATTTGGTGGATCCCAAAATAACTTAGAGTTAAAGGAGCGAACAATAAAAAAAATGTTTTTAAAAAATAGTTTTTATCCAATTAGATCGAAAGATCAAGTGTAAATGAAATCTTAAGTCACGTTGGGAAAAATTTTTTGATTAATTTTTTGTGGGAAAGTTCCATCGCATCTAAATAATAAAAAATCTCAATTTAGAATTTCGGCATGTCAAAGTATAAAAGTCAAAATATTATAAAAAAATTCACGGTTAACAACTCTATAGAAGCGCCAGTTAAACACAAAAAACGTAAGCTACCAAAAGCGGATAAAGGGAATCCTAAGAATAAAAAACATAAAAAAGAGGACTTTATAGACGTAAATGACCTTGATTGGTCTGAGGTTTTATGTCCAGACTCTGTGTTTCTAGGTGGTGATGAAGATTTGGGTGGTTTTCTATGTTTGGAGGAAATCAATAATGTTGATGTTGAATATGAAAAAACCGCTACTAAAGGGTGCACGATTAAATTTACGGTTGGATATTATGAATGTTATCCTCTTGCTTGGAATACTGTTTTATCGTTCTAAGTAATACTCATAACATTATTTATAAAGAAAGTTGCATCTAATAAACCGATTACAAAGAAAAAAAATCCACCTGCAAGGCCTCACGAACCATTGCCTATAGAAGAATTATCAAAGTATCATGATTTGGATACATTTAATGAACAATCCTTTTTAAAGAGTCAACAATCACACCTTGACGTGGCACCTGTTTCTCATTCAGATGAAAATTTGGTTTCAGAGCAAGATGAGGAAGATGGTTCGAATATTCAACTCGGAAATGAAAGTAAACTATCTTTTTTTTTTTTTTGCCTCATGAATTTGTAATTTGTTTGACCATATGTTGCTATTATAGATATTGATGTCTCTGCCTGGGGAGTGTTTAACCTTTCTTCAACTATAACGGACGGATTAAAGGCTCTCAAGTTTGAAAAGCCAACACCAATTCAAGAAAAGACTCTTCATTCAAGCTTGAACGGACGAGATGTCATTGGCAAGGCAGAAACAGGATCGGGAAAAACACTTGCATTTGGAATTCCAATATTGGAGTATATAATCAAGCAAAAAAAAGAGAATTCTGAAAACCAATTGGTTGCTCTTATCCTGACACCAACAAGAGAATTGGCTATGCAAATTAAAAATCATCTTCAAAATGTTGGAAAATTCTCTACAAATAATGTAGGGCACTCCTCTGTGAGTTCTAACAAATTTATGCTATTAATTATATTATTTACCATTCTCATTGAATCACATGTTTAGATTATGACAATTGTTGGAGGTATGGCGATTCAAAAACAAAAGAGGTTACTTGAAAGGAATCCTAACATAATTGTTGGTACTCCGGGACGATTATGGGAACTTCTTTCCGAGGTAAAAAAAATGTAACTTTACAGGCGTTATCATATTCAAAATTTTCATGAAACGTCATGACAAATTACGACTCGAATAGAATGAGGAATTTATAAATACACTTCGCCATATCCGATTTTTGGTCCTTGATGAAGCAGATAGGATGTTAGAAGCTGGGCATTTTAAAGAACTGAATTATATACTTTCGATATTATCAAGGAGTAAACAGTAAGTCGATTTCTTTATGTTTCATAATTTTGTGTTTTTGTCTTATAAACACATTTATAATTAATAGAGAACGAAATGATGATAACAAAATAATGCTAGATGCTAAGAGAGGTGAATTAATTAGCCATTAGGTTTGTAAATAATTGTTATGTTCAATTTCACTAATGATCATTTGTAACTTAGATATTCCCGCAAGGCAAACATTTATATTCTCAGCTACTTTAGATAACAATTTTAAAAGCAATCCAAAACGAAAAAAACCACTTAATGGGATTTTGAATTCTCAAGGAACAATTGGTAATTAATTAATTTTTATCTTTTGTGTTACCACCATTTTCTAAAATCTTAACTTTTCTGCATTCTTACGTTACAAAACAGCTGAACTGATGAATAGGATAGAATTTAGAGATTCTAACCCATTATATGTTGATATTGCTCCAAAAGGTTCTGTCGTAGAAACTCTGCAAGAATCTAAAATTGATTGTTTAGCTAGAGAGAAGGTTATAATTCTTGAGTTCTTAGCAAGTCACCATAGACATCACAACTATACTAAATCACTTGTGATTATTTAGGATTTATACATGTATTATTTCATTACACGGTATCCCGGTAGAACTCTTGTGTTTGTGAATAGTATTGATGCGATTCGTAGATTGGTCCCGATAATGAGATTACTTAATATAGAAGTTTTCGCTCTTCATGCTCAGATGCAGCAAAGACAAAGGTTAAAAAATTTGGATCGGTAAGATAAATCTGTTTATAATTTGAATAATTCAAGTCACCATAAGATCTATTAAAATAATAATTACCAGGTTCAAGCAAAATTCGAACGCGATTATGGTCGCTAGTGACGTGGCGGCTCGAGGACTGGATATTCCACTCGTTGATCATGTGATACATTATCAGTTGCCACGTTCTGGAGATGTATGTATTCATATTGGTCTGTTCATATGATTCATTATGATTTATTATTTGTCTAACAGTTTTAATCCGCTTATTGTAGATATATATCCATCGAAGTGGCCGTACAGCACGTGCGCGTAATGAAGGTATCAGTTTGATGTTATGCAGTCCAGAAGAGTCAGTTTTGTACCGAAAAATTTGCCAAGAATTGAAGAAGGGTTAGTTGCATCTATATGATACATCATTTGCTTTATGTACTTGATTTCTTCCTCATTTTATTTTTAAAAGTCAATGGGATAGCCAATTTTCCAACCGATGGTGGAGTGATCAATTCCATGAAGCAGCGTATTGATTTAGCAAGACAAATAGATCAAGAAGAACACAAGTTGCAAAAGGTATGCATTCTTTTCTTTTTGATTAATATTCTGATTTTTCGATGCTTATATACATTTATTTCAGGGCAACCATGATGATGAATGGTTTAAGAAAGTTGCGGAAGATCTTGAGGTGGACTTGGACGATGATCTTCTTTTCAATAAAAAAGAGATTAATAAAGGGAGACAGAATAATGACCCTGTTAAACATAAAATTCAATCATTAAAACTTCAGCTGAAAAGGTTATTATCTCAACCATTAGTTCCACGTGGTGTATCTACTAAATATTTAACAAGTGGTATTGTACGTGATTTAGCTGATAGATTGTTAGATGGTTCATCGTGTAAGTAATGAAATAGTAATTTGTACTCATGCAAACAATTTTATTTATTTATTGGTTTTATTTTTCAATAGGTAATTCTAAAATTTTGGGGATACAAAAATCCAAGGCAACTGAAGATTTAAAGTCAAAAAAGAATTATAAAAAAACATCCTTGAAACAATAGTTTTTTTTTTTTAAAAAAAAAAGCGATTGTTCTATTTATTTTATTCTATTTAATAGTAGATTTGCAAATTTTATAAAAAGTAAAAATCTGGGTGAAAAACTTAATTCTTGAATAACATCCAGAGGGTATAGCTACATTAGTTTATTACTTTTTATATATCTTCCCCAAATATAGTATCCTGTACCCACGGGTACTATCCAATTTATAAATAAAGTTCTTGAATAAGACTTGAAAAAAGATTGTGATGAATAAAGCTCTCATTAAACTTGATCAGAATTATACTACATGGCCCACTTTAAGGGTTAAATTCGGCCAGTAAATGATATTGATAATCTAGAAAGATCCCTGACCGGCTAAATGCATTGTTATCATAAGTTCAAATGATCAAAAAAAAAAAATTATCGGGTAATTTTTTAAGACCTGTGTATACGTTCTTCGAACACGACACAATAAATTAAATTTGACATGAGGGAATTACCGTCGAAGGAATCCGCTCTTTTCAAACAAATTCTCGCAAGTATCTTTCACAAATGAGCTAAAATAAAGTGTAATTTCAAGCATTGAACTGAAATTTTCGTGTGACTAGAAATACTATGAATTCAAGCAATATAAGAAAGGATTTAAAGCCGCCGAACAAATACTGAAAAAGTATCCAGAGCATGGGGGTACATACTCTTACTTTTTATTGCTTCTTTGGATTATTCTTCTAGTTATCATTGTTTATATATTGGCTGGATAATTATTATAATTTCCGATGTCATGATTCTAAAGAAAAAAATACATTAAATTAACTTGCATTGTTTTAGAAACGTTAGCTATGAAAGGCTTATTTCTTAACCATATGGATAAGAAAGAAGATGCTCGAGAATTCGTACGAAAGGGCCTCCGATCTGATTTGAAAAGCCATATTTGTAATTATCTTTTTTTTTCATTGGGATCATTTATATAATTTATTGGCTCTTTATAAAAAAAATACAAATATAACGGTTTAATTAGGTTGGCATGTATATGGATTGCTACATCGATCCGATAAGAATTATGGCGAAGCGTTGAAATGTTATACCCAAGCTTTAAAAATCGATAAGGTATTATAAACGAATTTAAAATTCATTATATCAATCTAAACACCAAATTATGATTATTTGATAGGATAATATGCAAATCCTTCAAGATTATTCTCTGCTTCAAATCCAAATGCGAAATTATGAAGCTTTTAATGTGAGAAATAAGGAAAAATCAAACTAATAATTAATTATTATTATATAATTCTTGTAATAAATTTTTATAATCTTATGTTTCTAAATATCAAGGAATCACGCCATCACCTTCTACAGTTGAGGCCAAATAATCAAAGATATTGGTTAGGACTTGCAATATCTTATCATCTATTGGAAAATTACGAAACTGCTGAAAGAGTTTTGAAAATTTATGAAGGAACTCTTAAACCTGGTCAAACAAATTACGAGCATAGTGAAATGCTGCTATACCATAATCTTATTATAGATGAAAGTGGTAATACTGAAGCGGCTTTAGAACATTTAGAATCTATCAAAGACAACGTTTGTGATCGTCGGATTTGGAAAGAAAAAAGAGGTTTGCGCTATTGGCCAATACCAAAATAAATTAAGACTTTTTTCTTTAATTCTCGAGCTCATTAATAATATATCTTGATTTAAGCCCAGTTTTTATTGAAACTTAACAGACTTCAAGAAGCAGAGGCAGCCTACGAAGAATTAATTAATGATAATCCTGATTGTTACGGTTATTGTGAAGGATTACAAATAGCTAAAGGGATTAATACTAGTATGTGTGTAATTTGATTCATCCACAAAATAAGATGATCAATGCAAAAAAAAATAAATGAATAAAAAATAAAATAAAAAGAAATAATTATTTAAATGTTGAGGATAATTCTATAGACGACTTGACACCTGAGTGTGAAGAAAAAATCATCGATTTGTATAAAGATCTAGCCCAAAAATATCCAAAGTCGAACGCGATAAAACTATTTCCTCTATTATATACAACTGGTCAGTCTGTTAGTAATTTTTGCTTAATATTAATCCATTTACTTGTAATTTAATTCCAACATTATTTAATATTTTATCTAGGCGATAATTTTAAGATGTTTGTAGATGAATATACACAAGCTGCACTTCGTAAAGGAGTCCCGTCCTTATTTGTCAATCTCAAAAAGCTTTATGGCGATCCTCAAAAAGAAGCTATTATCGAGCAATTAGTTGAAGGATACCGCGAATGCCTGAAGAATAATAGTACCTTCACTCAACCTAAAAATGATGATTATGTGAAGGAACCACCTACTGCTTATCTATGGACCCTTTACTTGCTTTCCCAGCATTATGACAATAAACGTGACACAACGAAGGCCCTTATGTTGATTGACGAAGCAATCGAACACACTCCTACCTTGGTTGAATTATATATGACAAAGGGCCGTATTCTAAAGGTCCGAATTTTTGACAGCTATGTTAGGTACCATGTAAAAAAAAAAAAAAAAAAATGAAAAATGAAAACGAGTCTTACCAAACACTTAAATGTTGGATATGATAGCATGGTGGAAACCTTAACGAAGCCATGAAAGTGATGAATGAAGCCCGTGAATTAGACCTTCAGGACAGATTCATTAATTCGAAATGTTCAAAGTATATGCTCAGAAATGATCAAACTGAAGAAGCAGAACAAACAATCGGGTTATTTACTAGGGTTTGTATAGCTGGTGGTATTTAATATATGATGTTTCAATTCTAGAAAATTATCTTACGTACGCATTTTTAAAGGGTGATGCTCCCGATCCATTAACAGATCTTGCGGATATGCAATGTATGTGGTTTGTCCTTGAAGAAGGTGAAAGCTATATAAGGCAAAAAAAATGGGGAAAGGCTCTAAAACGGTTTCACCAAATCGAAAAGGTATGGTTCAATTTCTCGGTATTTAAGAAATCGCTTGTAATTCAACGTTATTCATTCTAAAATCTTAAAAATATAGCATTTTTCTGATATAACGGATGATCAATTCGATTTTCATACTTATTGCTTACGTAAAGTCACTATCCGGGCATACTTGAGGCATATATCAACAAATAAACAATCTGTCAATAAAGTTAAGCAAATATTTAATGATTTATGCTTTAAATTTTCACAATAGTATGCTACGGCTGGAAGATCAATTGCGTTCTCATCCATATTATTTTCGGGCAGCACAAAGTGCCATAAAGGTAATAGAATGACATTAATTATAATTAATATCATATTTTCTATTGACAATTACGTATAAAATGATTTAGATCTATATCGAATTATACGACAATCCAAATAAGGTCACTATTATTGAAGAAAATGAAGACTACGGTAAGTTCATCGTCTACAGCTATATAGATATGTATTACAGCCAGGCTCATTAACTATATTTGGTCATTAGCAAATATGACTGAGGGTGAGAAGAAGAAACTAAGAAGCAAGGCTAACAAAGCTGCTCATAAAAAGCAAAAGGAAGATGAAGAAAGAAAAGGTTTGCCAAAAAAAGTTTTATTGTATTGTTTGTACGCGGTAATTGATCACATTTTTTATTGGAAAAAGCAAAGGAAGATGTAAAAAAAAAAGTTGATAAACCTCAGGACGATGATCCGGATGGTGAAAAGCTTCTTAAGGTTTGTCATTATTCCAAAATTAATTAGTCATGTGTTAGGTCTTAATACAATTCGTTCTCGACGAAAGGAATTAGTTCAAAATTTTTTTCTTATATTCGTTATTAATACGCTTTGTAAAGTTAAATTGAAATTATATTTAAGATCAAACCTTCTCATATTAACGTTTTTTTTATATCAAGTGTGGCTTTTAAATATGCATATATTTATATTTTATTAATTAATAACGATAAATAAAATTTATTTATCTATAGACTGAAGATCCTTTGGGTGAAGCATTTAAATTCTTACTTCCATTGCAAGAACTGTCGCCAAAAAGGATAGAAACACATTTACTAGGATTCGAGATCTATCTACGAAAAAGTATTATTTTACAGTTGTGTTTTTGATTTTGTTCAATTAATGATATGTATCATAACTTGTTTGTATTTCATGTTTTGTCTAGAGAAGTATCTTCTTGCTCTTAGAGCTCTTTTACGCGCTTACAATATAGATAAAGAAAATGCTACATTGCATAATGATATAATACGATTCCATTTAGCGGGTAATAATCATCACTATTTGCAACTTTGAGTCTTTGATTTTTAAATTACTCTTTTTAATTAATAATTTCCATTAGTATCTGATGATAAAGAAATTAATCCAACAGTAAATCAAGTTATTACCTCAGAAAAAGTAACTTTAATACCAGAAAATATGCCTTTGGCCGAATTTAATGAAAGATTCTTAGAAAGAAATAAAAGCTTACCACAATAGAGTTAGAACCGGGTTATAGTAAACCGGGTCACCCATGTCAAAACGGTTCAACCGGGTCAAAAATTTACAACCCGGGTCTAAAAATATGTTACTATTACGCAGAACATAAAATTTAGCACATTATTATTGTATTGTGAAAATAAACAGATTTTTTTTCTTATTAATTTATCTAAATGTTTAATCCCGCTAATCTGGATTTACAAACTTTCGGGGGCTACCATACGACTATCTATTACGAAAATTTTTGCTAAAAATTTTCCTTTGTATAAGCCTTCATTATTATTTTCTTTGCTATGTTCGACACGTTCGATAGTACCCCGTAATTCGTAATGCCGGGGTTTGGGTTGCATGAATTGCGCGATCGATAGCATAAAATTAATTAAAAGTCTAATATATACGTACATTCGTGCGTATGTTGTTACGAAAAATGTAATACACTTTTCCTTTCGTAATACCCTCCATTAATATAGTAAATTATTAGTTATTTTATTACATATTTGGTACGTAGTTAAAAGTTTTGACTACATTTTGAGCCTAATAAAAAACTATATAAAGGGTCAATAAGGATAGAAACTTTTAGGAGTACCTTCGATAGTTTTCTTTTATACTCTTCGATAATTTCATTGTAAATAAAATCCAACGCTATTTTGGCACGTAGATTCTGTAAATTGAAATTTCATGTAATAGTAATTTTAATGACTATACTCCGATCAGGTGAATCAGCATGATTGGTCGATCGATATTGTTTATTGTAGTCAGTGTTGTCACATTTACTATGTTTACGAATTTTTTTGGCATGTCCATGTTTACGTTCACGGATGTCCATGATGTTTATGCTTAATATATATTATTAAAAGATAAAGCGAACTGGTTTTGCATTAAAAAAAAAATAAAGTTGTAAAGTTATAACGAAAGCCTGTCCAGGCAAACTAGTGTGCAACAATTTTAATTAGCCTGGTATGTTTGAGCAGTGGATGCAACATGACCGAAATAGTAAATTTGGATACTTGTTTTGATCGATCATGCATAGGAGCATTGATCAATCTGTTTCTTTTTTTGTACAAATGAAGTTCATTTAATTTCGAAGTTAATTTAATTTATCGTATGGACTAAAAAATCAATAGTGCGATCTAAGAAAAAGAAATTCAGATAATTCAGGGTCAATAGAGACAGGGCACAAAATTTCCGGATGCCGGAAGCTGCTTTTTCTCTGGCGGTGTTTATTTTAACCGGAACTTAGAAAACTCAACCGGATGTAGCAGTTTTTTAATAAAGATATTGTAATATTTATTGATATTTATATACATACGTATATATGATATCATATTCAGAAATTTTCCGGCTGTTGAAAAGTCGGGCCGGAAATTGTCACGTGTAAACAGAAATTTCCGAAATTTTACAATAGGATTTGTGTCCTGAATAGAGACGCGAACAAATTGAGAAAGTGAGTGCGACAGAAAATCATATTATATCATAACTTGTGTGTTTCTAAGACGAATATTTCAATGTTTATTTTGAAAATCAGAACCGATTTCGTCTTCGTTACCATACTTTTGCATGTCAGAAATCCTTACCAATACTTATCCTGGTATTCACAGTTAAAATCGTCTCATACATTCTTAAAGTCATTATTTTAATATTGACATTAATTTTTTTTTTGAAAGAAGGCCGATTCTAATTCCATCATCATCGTTCATCAATCATATCTGGATCATACTTCTGAACGCTGTAAATTCCATCAATATCTTATTTACTGTCATTATTCTGTAAGTTATTATATTATGTGTTCTTAAAATCGGTATTTCATATTTAGCTTTAGCCGATTCTGATTCCATTATCGTTGTTTCTCAAGCATTCTGTATTATACCTTTGGACACTGAAAATTTCATCAACATTTTATTTACTGCCATTATTCCATAAGTTGTTAAATGCCACACGTTCTTAAATGGATACTATATAATTTTGACTCTGCAAGTACTGGCATGTGTTTTGTTAAAACATAATGCCAGGCATGGGCATAAGCATCCTATTTTAATAGAGCACATTCCAACACTTGCAGAGTCACAACTAAATCTGTATCTTAAGATTCACTTTTTAACTTTTTTTTTTAGAATAAGTCCAATTACATTAACTATATCACTAGGAAATTGTATTTATTTAGAAATCATGATCATGTATTCTAATGCTACGGTTAGTGAGTTTTCTGTTAGTAGCACTTTGGTAAACACATGTGCAAATGTCGAAGAAAATGACAAAGAATTAACTAACATTGATAACACACCATTCGTTAGAAACATATTAGGTTCTGAGTTCAAGAACTATAGTGGTGACTTGCTTTTAATTACCTCTCCAATTGAGATTAAGGTAGGAACTCAATTTATCTCTATGCCGGTTGCAATTCATTATGTAGAATAATATGCTTTTCAGAATCATTTTGCTATTTATAAACACAAATGTGAGATATTTTCTGATGGAACTTGTAGAAAAAGAGTTTTAAAATGTAATAGGGGTGGAAGATATAATGAACAGCTCTTGAGGCCAACATTAGGCAAACAAAAAAACAAGGAGAGCAAAAAACAAGGATGTGTGTAGCAAATTAATATGACACGATCTTATAAATCACCAATTGTTACAGTGACATTGCTTAATACTGAACACAATCATCAAATTGATATTAAAACTATAAAGTTCACTACGGCTTACAAAAGTTTTTCTCAGGAAATTATGGAACAAATCAAATATTATGTTATACATGGTCGGTGTGATGCAACAATGATTAGGAATCTTTTTCAACCCAAGTATCTAGATTATATCTTTCTTACTCAAGATCTTAGGAATATCATTCAAAAGATAAAAAGAGAACATCGAATAAACTTAGGTGATATGGCATCTTTATTAACAAAACTGTTAGAGTTCCAAGCTAATGATTCACAGTGGTTTGTAAAGTCATTAATCGATGATACAAGTAGTCGGTTAATTGGTATTTTTTGAATATCACCAAAATAACATAAAAGATGGTTCAAGTTTTATGATATAATTATTTATGATAATACTGTGCAAACTAATAAGTATAATTATCCATTGAGTTTTTTTATTTTAATTGACAATTATAATAAGAGTAGATTAGTAGCATAGACACTTATACAGAATGAAAGACAGGAATCATATGAGTAGTTATTTCGGTGTTGTTTAGAAGCCTGTGAAATTCCTTCATTAACTTTCGTTACAGATGTAGATCCTGCCATAATTGCCACTATTTCTATTGTATTTCCTAAAACTCGCCATATGCAATGTTTATATCATCTTTATCAAAATCTTTCAAAAAATCTTCGATTATGCTTAGTCACACTTTATCAAGATTTTCTCAAAGATTTTAAAAACATTCAGCATTCTTATTGTGAAGATGTATTTGAGAAAAGAATTGAAAGGTTACTTGAAAAATATAGACCAAGAGAAAGATATATAACAATGTTGTTAGATTGGAAATATATATAGGTAAAATGTTTTACATCTCGATGTTTCACAGCAGAAACACAATCTACTCAACATGTAGAATCAGAAAATGCATTAATTCAAAAGGTTATACAATCAAATTATTCTCTCTTGGAAGTTCAGGAAGCTTTAGAAAATCGACTTGAATTTGAGTTGATTAATAATCATTACTCAATTTGGAAAACATCAACAATTCAATATATACAATCATTCGTTATACAAACATTTTTTACTGGTATCAATTATATAATTAAAAAATACCTAACTCAGTCAATTTGTGATGCACATTATAAACAAATATGTCAATCTGTATGTTATTATGCATATCAAGTACCAATGTTGAAAATTTTATTTTCAGATGATGATTCGTTTGAACCATTTTTTGAAAAAAAACAAATAATTTTGAAATTCTTTCTGAAGCAGATGAAGATCAGGAACTTAACCTACAATCTTTAATTTTAATGATTAATCATGATGAGATTTTAGAAATTTGGAAAGTTTTTTGATATAATTACCAAAAATGCTATCAACATATAATTTTACTTAATAATAGAGAACATTTATGTATATGCTTTATATTTATTACTCATAGGATTATATGTAGGCATTTTTTTAAAATCTTTATACTATCATCCAAGGCACGCTTTCATTTAATGTTGATTCCTAAACATTGGTATAAGGATGAATATCTTGATTCAGATAAAGACTATTCTCATAAAATAGTAGTAAATAGTTCTAATAATAATAATACACAAATCATTCCAGAATTTACCCAAAAATATACTATAACTGATCTTTCAGAAAAATGGTATAAAAAAATATTAAAAAATCAATTAAAATATGGTGCTTTAATGAGTGAAGCAAAAAAGACAATTTATTATGCATTACAGAATGAAGATAATGAATTAATGCAATTTATAAAAGAATTCAATAAACGAAAAGAAAATTAACATATTCAAGCTTGTATACACAACAATCTCTTTACTAGTATTTGCAATACAAATGGAGATTTAATTGATCCTGAACAGGTTTTAGATCTGCTAAAACATCAATCAAAAGGAAGACCATTATTGAAATGACTAAAATCATCTATTAAACAATCTAAAAATAAATCAAAATTAAAAGTATCAAATACTTTAAATAATAATAAGGGTCGTAAATGTGGATTATGTAGAAAAATTGAATATTACCGAAATACATGTTCTGTAATGTAGCAGTAATTTAATGTATATGGGTAGTTATATAAAGAATAGCCTATACTGTACAAAGTGGGAATCATTTATAGATAGATTAGCTTATGAACTATAAAAAATCATACAAAATATAAGAATAGTGTAGACAAGTTAGCATTGAATTTGTTTCAATAATTCACTATATTTTTTTTTTTGCTTTTTGTATAATTCATTAAAATAAGTGTAAAATGAATGTTAATTGATAATTATAAAGTGTTTGCTCAGTATTAATGAGTTAAAAGAAATAATATTATTATAATTTAGTCCAAATTATAGGTATAATACAAAAGCAAAGATCTTAAAGTTATATGTTGTTAGGTAATTTTGTTTTTGTCTTTTTTTTTTATTTTTTTAGTGACTCTAGTGAATACCAGATAGAAATAGAGTGCTTTCAGTACCTTTTTATTAGCTATTTGCTTTTACAGCACGCTATACTGCACAAATCTATTCAGACATTATTAATACTCGAGATTAGATAACACACCTATTTAGTAACATAACTGATATACATATGCACATACATATATGCAACTTGATTAATTTGTGCTTTAAATTTTATTTGATTTTGAGTCCCAATTCAGATATTAACATTCTTCTCAGTAGTCATTAGAAGTCAGAATTGGTCAAAAAAATATTTTGACTAGTACAAAATTATTAAAATCACACGATAATTATCCACTAAAATAAATAGTTTTCTATTATAAACATAAATGATTTTTCTATTAATAAACAGAAAAGTTCATGTTACTTATTAACTAGCTTCATAGCTTTTATGATTGATAACAATCGATTAATCATTGAATTGTTGAATGATTACAGTCTCAATATTTGCTACCAAAAAATTCAATCGTATATAATTACAAAATTCTTGAAGTTTGGTAATGTTAAGATTAGCATTTTGGAGTAGGGCTAGCAGGGCATACAATATAGTTAAATTGTTTAACAAAATCTTTGTTTTGCACAGATTTTGAAAAATTTTTTCAAAATAAATAAAATCATATTATTGTTATAATTGTTATACTATATTTAGTTAAAATTATATATATATGTTAGCTTATATGTTATTATATAAAATATTTATAATAAATTTGTATATGAATGAGAAATATTGAATCTTACTCTGGGTAAATTATAAATTTACCCTTATTAAAAATATATAATTATACATAAAATTTAATGACAAACATTTTTATTTAATGTACAAAATCAAGTTGTCATAATAAACTTTTGAGCTATTAACATTTCTTTTTTGTGCAACATGTTCATATATTGTTTACATATATGTTCACATGTCTGTCCACACCTGTTTATTGACAACACTGATTGTAATCCATTATAGTTTGTGCATAATCAATAACAATGCATAAAGATGAGTCATAAAGTCAAGATAGTGTATAAATAAAATAAAGAGATTAGTAATGTATTTTTTCTTAGTTACAATCATTATATAAAGAAATTCATTCTGATTATTGAACAAAGATGTTGAATAAAGATAAAAATGAATCAAAGTTAAAAAATAAAGGATAACTTATCTAATATAATACAGTGATTTTCTATCAGTTAGTGTGATTTAAAAAAAAGAACTTTGTTGATATTAAATTAAAGATAGAAATGAATCAAAGTTAAAAGTAAAAAATAACTTATTTAATATAGTACAACAGTTACTAGACAGTTGGTATCATCAAATATAAACAAGATTGCAATTATATTCTAACATATTGTATTAAGTAATTTTATAATTTTGTACAAGATTAAAGACATTAAGAATAAGAAAAGATTATTGTTAGTATTAAAGGTTAAAAAAAAATATAACAAAACAAGAACACAAAAAATTATATAACATTATATTTATTAATCTATACAGCAATTATAATAATTAAAAATAGTTTGAATCAAAAACAATAATTTGTAAAATAAATACACAATGCGAATTAATGACAATGAGAAGAAATGTTAAAAATACAAAAGATATAATAAAAAATAGGTAAAAAATGCAACTTAATTACTGAAACATTTGAATACATGTATTTTGCAAAACTTAAATAAAAATTTTAATTCTAATAAAAGCAAAAATAATTAATATTACATAATTTAAAACAAGAAAACAAATAGAAATTAGAAACTTTACTTAAACATGTCTTTTTTACATCAGAAAATACAATTAAAAATTCAGATTTCTTAATAAGATTTGTTCTTTTTTTAGAATTGTAATATGTTAGTTTCTTTTTAGTTTACTTATTAATAAAGAACATATTAATTTGCAAATAGTTGTTCAGAATATTCTTGATAAAGTATCTTATTATTGTTTAGTTAGTAATAGTTAGTCAAATATTAACAAATCATCAGTAATAAATTAATAATAATTACACTTGTACTTATTTTTATAAGTCTGTTCATACTAATAAAGAACATTACATAGTTAAGATATTGTTAAAAAGATTAATAATATAATGCAAATAATTAGAAATAACAAGTATGTTAGTATTATTATTAACAATATAAATAATATAAAAGTTGTATAAAATATTTTAAAAATTAAATATCCAAATAAAATTTTATTAAATACTAGGTATATGAAATAAATCTTTAAATTAAAAATATATTAAAAAATGAATAAATAATACAAATTCTAAAAAAAACTAAAAAGTTGATTTTATTTTTTTATAATTATTTAATTTTGTTACTTTTTATTACTTACAAAAAAAATATATAATATAAAAATAGTACTTGTTTTGATTATTAATACTAGATAGACATTAGCTTTTGAATGTTTTGATTATATTTTGCAACCCTGATTAGCATTATATACTATATTTACTAAAGAAATCAAAATAAGTAATATCAAAATAATCATTTTGGATCTTAACTTTTAGGAAGATCTCAAAATATTATATAATTTTTTAGAACTATTATTATTTTTATATATAAATTAAAAAGTAATGAATTATATTTTTCTTTAGTCTATAAATTTTTTTTTTTTTTAATAATTAAAGTCTCTATTTTAGAGATGTGATATTTTTATTCAAATATATTAAGACACAGCATGCTACCAGGAGCTCACCTTACATTAAAGATTACAACTAGCCACATGTGCACTTTTGGTATTTAATTTTATTTTATTTTTTTTTTAATATTAAAGTCTCTGCCTTTGAAAATTAATTTTTTTATTCAAGTATTTAAACACAAATGCCTCCAGAGGCTTTTATACATAGGAGGTTACAACTAGCCATATATGTACTTTTGGTGCCTAATTTAAGTAGTCTGCTTATACATTACTATACAGATTCTATACTAAGTGCTATATCTGCAAATCAACTATAAGTTTTGCTTATTTAAACCCTCTGCATATGCAATCTGATTTGTGATCATGAGAACATCTTCTGAATTACATTCATCCAAAGTACCTTTGCAGAAATTTAAAAAAATAAAAAACATAATAAATATATAATAAATATATTTTAGATATATTTATATTAATTTTATTATAACTCTATATTAAAAATATATTAAACATATTTTTTAATTATATAATTAATATATTATTAATATATTTTTAATATAAAACTAAAATAAAATTAATATTAATATATTAAAAATATAATAATTATATTAATATTAATTTTATTTTAGTTTTATATTAAAAATATATTAATAATATATTAATTATATAATTAAAAAATATGTTTAATATATTTTTAATATAGAGTTATAATAAAATTAATATAAATATATCTAAAATATATTTATTATATATTTATTATGTTTTTTATTTTTTTAAATTTCTGCAAAGGTACTTTGGATGAATGTAATTCAGAAGATGTTCTCATGATCACAAATCAGATTGCATATGCAGAGGGTTTAAATAAGCAAAACTTATAGTTGATTTGCAGATATAGCACTTAGTATAGAATCTGTATAGTAATGTATAAGCAGACTACTTAAATTAGGCACCAAAAGTACATATATGGCTAGTTGTAACCTCCTATGTATAAAAGCCTCTGGAGGCATTTGTGTTTAAATACTTGAATAAAAAAATTAATTTTCAAAGGCAGAGACTTTAATATTAAAAAAAAAATAAAATAAAATTAAATACCAAAAGTGCACATGTGGCTAGTTGTAATCTTTAATGTAAGGTGAGCTCCTGGTAGCATGCTGTGTCTTAATATATTTGAATAAAAATATCACATCTCTAAAATAGAGACTTTAATTATTAAAAAAAAAAAAAATTTATAGACTAAAGAAAAATATAATTCATTACTTTTTAATTTATATATAAAAATAATAATAGTTCTAAAAAATTATATAATATTTTGAGATCTTCCTAAAAGTTAAGATCCAAAATGATTATTTTGATATTACTTATTTTGATTTCTTTAGTAAATATAGTATATAATGCTAATCAGGGTTGCAAAATATAATCAAAACATTCAAAAGCTAATGTCTATCTAGTATTAATAATCAAAACAAGTACTATTTTTATATTATATATTTTTTTTGTAAGTAATAAAAAGTAACAAAATTAAATAATTATAAAAAAATAAAATCAACTTTTTAGTTTTTTTTAGAATTTGTATTATTTATTCATTTTTTAATATATTTTTAATTTAAAGATTTATTTCATATACCTAGTATTTAATAAAATTTTATTTGGATATTTAATTTTTAAAATATTTTATACAACTTTTATATTATTTATATTGTTAATAATAATACTAACA